AAATAGTATTATAACCATGAGCCACTAGAACCCAGCCAAAAGTTTAGTCTTAAGAGAAACTGACCGGCTGGGCACCGGTGGCTCACACCTGTAATCCTAGCTACTCAGAGGAGGCTGAGATCTGAGGTTCAAAGCCAGCCTGGGCAGGAAAGACCGTGAGACTCCTATCTCCAATAAAGCACCAGAAAACTGGAAGTGGCGCTGTAGGTCAAGTGGTAGAGTGCTCACCTTGAGCTGAAGAGCTGAGAGACAGCACCCAGGCCCAGAGTTCAAGACCCAGGACCGACCAAAAAAAAAAAAAAAAAAAAGACAAACTACATTTTTTTTCTTTTTGTTCCACGTAGAGGGGTGATCTGTATACTAGAGAATATTGAGCAATCAGTATCCCTGGGATCCGTCTACTAGACCCCAGTAGCACATCCCTGAGGACAATCAGAAATGTATTTATATATTGCCTGATGCCCTTGAGGGTCAAAAATCTACCTTCATCCCACCTAGAATTAACAGCCAAAGGTATTTCCAAGAAACTTCCCAAGTTAATGGTGTTGGTTGTATTAAATACATTTTCGGCTGTAGAAAATAATGATACAGGACAAGAAAATAATGATATGTTATAAATGACAGAGCCTAAATTTGTATTCAGTGTTATTCAAGGATAAAATCACCAGTTCTTTCTTCCTTGGAGCTGGTCTCATAAACAATAATTTGAGAATAAGAATATAGAGAATATATACATAGAGAGAAAGAAGCAAGAGGCTGGGCACTGATGGAGAAAATGGAGGTAACAAAGCTACAACTCAGCTTTGCCAACTGGTCTGGCAATTATTCTCAAAACAATTCCTCTGCCCTTTGGGCATCTTTGCTAAAGACAATAGCCAATTTTGCCTTGTGGAGGAATATTATTTTTGAAAGAATATTCTTTTTTGTACCATGCTAAAACTTGATGGGTGTCCCTAGTAAGATTCAAAAGAACTGTTGTAGAGGAACGACTGTATAAAGACCTCACTAACTCAACTTTGGGCATTTGGAATTTTTTTCTTTTCTTTTCTTGCAGTATTAAGAATTTGAACTCAGAAACCTTGTTCTTGCTAGGCAGGCACTCTACTACAGGAACTACACAACCAAGAACTTGCTATTTTTGTTATTTTTCAGGTAGAGCCTCTAGTTTCTGCCTCTTGTTTTTGGAATGCATTTAACTTGTTATCTCATAGTGAATTTATCTTGGAATGATAAGATAAGGTGTTGGACTTAAGCTTCTTGGCTGTACTTGGGATAACACTAGTAACTTCTGAACATTTTACTGCTTTAATCCTATAGTAAGAGAGATAAACTTTTCTCCACGTTGTAGATAAGAACTCAGAGTACCAGAAAGATTAGGTGATGTGCTCAAAGCTAGATTTTAAGGAGATGAGTCTGACTCCCAAACGAATAAAGCTCCAACTCCTATTCTGACCTACAGGTGTTTCTCTAACTGAACTGTACCTGTGCCTACTTAAGGATCTTATTAAATTGAAAGAGCAGTCTAACACATATAGAATATGGCCTGAAATCTGGCACTCACATAATTCCAAGAGCAGCCATGGATTTGGTCTCTGGGCCATATTTTGAATAGCAAGGTCATTCTCTTGTTAACAATTTTGAGTCTTAAATTGCCTTCTTCCTGAACTCTGAGGGTTAAGTCTAACCATTAAACATACATTTGTAAATTACTTTCAGCAGGTTAGAGACAATCTATTCATAATTTGAGAATTTTTACCATGTTGAATTGTGTTACTTTTTCTTCATGAATTGTTATAAACACATCTTTTAAAGACATTAATGACAATTACTTGATTTTTGAAATATTGAAATAACCTTGAATAATAATCTTCAAAATCAGTACTTATTTTGTGTTTCAATTCTTATTTGTAGAGCATTCATAGAATAGGAAAAAAAACAAAAATGGAAATAAAAATCACCCCAAATCTCCCCATTCAGAGATAAGGTTACTGTATTGATGGATCTCCACAGTTTTTAAAACACAGTGAGGTACTTAGGATTAAACCCATACAATTCTCCTATCTACAACCTCTTGTGTAGCTGAGTTCATGTGCTAGCACAACTAGCTTATTAAATGAGATGAAGTCTTCATAACTTTTTGCTTAGGTTGAATCACAAGTCTCTGAATCTATACTTTCTGAGAAGCTTAGATTATAACATTAAAGCTACAATGCCTGGCTAGAATTTAAAAACTAAAAATAAAAATAAATTCTTGAACTACTTGACTCTAGAACTTTAAAACTGTAAGAATTAAGTTATCTAATAATGACGTCTAAAAATCTGGGTGTCTGTTCTTATGAAGGTCAAGAAAAGATAACCCATCTCCCCTCTCCCACCTTTCTCTCTATAAAGGGAATGCTTCTATATAAACTGGAATCCTACTTATATAAATTATGTCAGCTATTATATAACAACACTGATAATTCTTAGAAAATCAACACTACTTAACTTGTGACAATTACATCCAAGGCTTATTCTTAAATCCATTCTTGGGACTTTGAGGTACTGAGGAGTCATACTTGGGCTTACTCTACTCAGGTGGATGACTTTCTGACCAACAGTCCCCAGGAATACTGGTTAATTAATTTTGTCAAATCAGAGTGAGAACTTGACACTGCATAAGGATTTAAGGTAAGGAAGCGACAGTATTCCTAGCAGAAAAACAGCCAGTACTGGGGTAAGGGGTAAGCACCCAGATCACCAGGAAATTTGTTTACTTTTCTGCTATTTTAGCCAAAAAGCTTGCCATTAATATCAAATAGAAACCTTGATATTGGGAAGCACAAAACTTGATCTCCTTCCAAATGAAAAGCACTTTATCTGGTACTCCACAACTATGGTATGAGTGGGTGGATGAATTGCAAGGGCAGATTGGATTAGAAAAGTCAACAGTAATAAGGAACACTGCTGGGATGTGCTCAGGCACGTTCCACCAGGGGAACATGGAAAGCATGGTTCCTGGAAAAATCTCGAATCTGCAGCTGGAAAGCCTGTCTCACTGCCCAAAGAAAAAGCTAACAGTTATTGAATAGCATGTGTAACACCTTTTTTTTTTTTGGGTCCGGTAGTGGGGCCTGAACTCTGGGCCTGAGCACTGTCCCTCAGCTCTTCAGCTCAAGGCTAACGTTCTACCACTTGAGCCACAGCGCCACCTCTGGCTTTTTTCTTTTTTTGCTTATGTGGTGCTGAGCAATAGAACCCAGGGCCTCAGGCATGCAAGGCAAGCGCTCTACCACTGAGCCACCTTCCCAGCCCGTGTGCCACCTTTTATGCTAAACATCACATATGTTTCAAGTAATCATCCCCACAAGGAAGAGTTGGTACCATTGCCATTCCCATTACACAAGTGAGGACATGGACTCTCAAAGAAGTTGAATAATTTACCTAGGACCATATAAGTAGCAAATGGCAGAACCTAGGTTAGAATCCAGGGAGTGTGAATGAAGAACAAAATATTTCAATAAATATAACAGTATTCTGTAATCTGCAAATGTCCGGCTTCTCAATCCACTCAGACACATTACAAGAAATCCTCTTGAAGAACAAACAACTAATGGTAGTCACACTGACCTCTATATTCTATTGGTATTCCTTTGGTTAAATGGAAAACATACAGCTTTATTGAATCAAACAGGCAGAATATATTTCAATATAAAAGACAACTTATGAACTCATGGAAACTAGACAGGGACAACTAAAAGTAAATTACCTACACCAGAACACTTTTATCAGCTTTAGGGCTAGTTTGGGGGGAAATTCACTTCCAGTTTAATACATGCTTCTGGGAAATCTGTCACATTTCTTCTCCCAGTAGCCATGCATGTAGGTAATGTAGCCAATGTCAGTTCAAGTACCACCCTTGAGGAGGTCATCCATGGTCTGCTCCAGTCAGAATGAACAACTCAACCGATTTACATTTGATTCTCACAGGTAGTTAGCTGTTTATGTCCAATCTCGACTTCCTTCTAACATCTTGAAATCAGCAACGTGACATACTCAAAACACCTAAGGCAGGTGAACATATTGGCTGGCGGTGAAATCTTTGCTGGGTGAGGTTGCCATTCTCAATTCTAAGCCTGAGGCTGTCGTTCCAGGCTCCAGTAGTGGTCTACACACCTGGACACACCACAAACCTGATCAATCATTCAGAGTGGAAAACAAGAAACACCAAACAACACAAAGCTGTACCAGCATCTATGCGGGTTGTGATCCACAGGGTAGAGGAATGCTCTTTAAAACACTGAATGGGAGGTCCGAACGGAAATGAAGGAGGGGAAGAGGAAAGCACGAGGACATTCAAAAACTCCATTGCTAATGGAGAACTACTTTCTCCACCACATGGTTTCGTAGTAAACACATTAGGCACCACGAGCATACCAAAGAGAGAGAGAGAGACGGTAGTCTAGATTTCTGAAGGGGTCCCGACCAGGAGTGTAAAGGAACCTTCTCTCTCGGGCTGAACCCCACTCGGGGGTACAGACTATTTATTGTTCCAATTCCGACCCCAGAGCAAAAGCAATCCCCGAGGCCTCAGAGAGAAACGGACAAGATCTTAAAGTATTTCGCGTCGTGGGCCCCAGGACGGGGACACCGACGGCACCCAGGGGCCTCCGGCGAGGCGCCCGCGGGCTGCACGGCGCCCCCGGGGTGGCACCGGGGCCCAGACGCCGCGTGCAGGAGGCCCGGCGCGGCCTCGGGCCTGGCCGGCGTCGGCCGCGGGCGAGGCCGCCGGGGTGGCGGGGCCGCCCAGCCCCGGCAAGCCCGGGAGCTCGGCGGGGCTCCCGGCGGGGCCCCCTCCGGGGCGCACACCTGCCGGGCCCTCGCGATCGCGGCCTCCCGCGGTGGCGGGCTGAGAACCCGGGTCCGCCGGCTCTCACGCCGCGTCCCCGCCCACCATCGCGCCCACCCTCCGCTCCGGCGGGCCCCGGACCCGCTGCCCCCGTCGCCACAACATCCTTTACCTTCCCCAAGCAAATGTGGCAGGTGATGGGCAGCGTGAGAGACAACGTAACGTTCTGCACCGTCTGCGCCATGGCAGCGTTCAGAATCCCGCCAACACGGAAGTCCCGCCGACCCGAGCGCAGCTCCTTCTCCACCGCCGGGGGCGCGCGAGGCCGGCTACGGCGGCCCTGCAGGGACACGGCCCGCCGCCCGCTGGACGAGGAAACGCGCTGGGCGGGCGCGCGGCCGCCTGGGCATTTTCCGGCGGTGTTATTTAAAAATACTTTAAAAAAAAAGTATATATGTGCATATGCATATTTTTATGTGATTATGATACATGTATGTCTTTAAAATCAGAAAGAAACTTTTATTATTTGTGTTCTGCTGGCTCAGGAGCTGCAAGATTCTTGAGCAGGATGAGGGTTAGACCACAAGTCCTGAAGACCTTGAAAATTTAGGAGAAATTTTGGAGGGAGGAGAGAGGAAGATGCAGAGAGGAGATTCTCAATCTCACGTCCTTTCAGAGGGAGTTATATGGAGGAAGGGGAGTTTTACTCCTCAAGATTAAACCCCACAAAGTCGATTAAAATATTTTCAGTGATTTTTTTTCTCTTCTTCTTATGTGTCTCCTTATTTTCTCCTGATTCAGATTAAATGTATCTGAAAACATGTCAGGGATACATTTAATGAAACCTATCACAATATATTCAATCTCAGATCTCCTTGGAGACAGACATTCACTGTTAGCTCTACTGTGGTTTCTACCCAATTTAAGGATTCTATCCAGGACTCATGATAGTGTCAGCCACCCACATGCAGAATACATTTCAAGGCTTTCATTTCAGGTGAGTTGGATGGATGTAAAATATACCATTTGTGCTGTTGAACTCTATAAGTAAAGTTAATGAGCATTTAATAACAAGGAATGACTCTTAACTATAACAAATGAATCTTAACTATGACATATTTGGAGTTTAACTGCTATTTGCTTTAAGTGGGGGAGGGGAGGATGTCATAAATTAGATAGGATGTGATAAATTATGCAAACAAATATAGTCTGTGAGTTTGGAAACTTAGGGTAAAAGGGAACCAAAGGGAAACTTAGAAAAAAGGCTAAAAGTCTAACTTTTGTGAAAACTAAGAAATATGTCAAAAACTAACTTCATGGCTGAGAGTCAGGATTTCTAGACAGGAGGAGGCATGATGGCTCAGTGGCTAGAGCACCTGCCCAGAAAATTCCAGGCCTTTAGTTGGAATTCAGATTAAAAAAAGGAAGAAAAAGAAAGAAAGAAAAGAAAGAAAGAAAGAAAGAAAGAAAGAAAGAAAGAAAGAAAGAAAGAAAGAAAGAAAGAAAGAAAGTGAAAGGAAGGAAGGAAAGAAGAGAAAAGAAAAAGTACAGGTTTCTCTGGTTAAAGGCTGCAATTTATTTTTCAGAATGCCTGGCATAAGTGTCATCTGGTTTTCCTTTGAAGGCAAAGTCACAGTTATATGATAGCCAGAATTCTTGTGTTTAGCTAATGTACCTTTCAAACCTCTGGATTTGAAACCCAAACTTCAGAATAAGATGATCCAGCTCATCAACCCACTGTCGTTCAGATGCTGCTTATTCCCATCTTGTTATTTTTCTTCCCAGGCTTGTAGCTGTCATGATACGGAGACCTCCTTCTAAAGCCTGCAAGTGGGCTATAAGACTCAGAATGTTCTTTTTGTGACATCCATCCCTGGAAATTGTACAGCAAGAAGACATGTGGAAGATGCTGCTCTAAAAAACAAAAGCAGAAACAAAAACTTCCATTGCTTAACAGGCAAGTTCATTACGTGTAAAACATCTGATGTATGTCAATATCTTGTTTCCAAGCAAGATAAATTTGAAACATCAAACCCTGTATTTTTTGTAATATACTGAAATTTATTTCCAACAGCCTATCTTTTCTATAAGCCTAGGTGGTTTTATTTTAAATAAGGTCTTGTTTCTTTTATAAGCTTCAGAATGGAGGTTTATTATAAAGATAATAAAAGTTGTTTTAAGATTAAGCAAGTTAAAATTACAAGGAACATTAAGCAAAAGTTCCACTATGCTTTTGCAGCTGCTCTCTATCCTATGTGGTGATCACTATTAACACAGTAGAGCACAGACTTACAAATAGTTTACTTCATGTGTTACTAAATATAAATAGGATGCTATACCATAGCTATTTTTTCTATTTAACACCTTTTTGAGAAATACATGTATTCACATGTGTGTGTACACTTAGTCCTACACATATGCCCATAACAGGTGAATTAGGAATTTTCTGTAGGTACAGATTGATTCCAGGCCAATTTCTAACTTTTTTTTTTAATGGTCGGTGGTGGGGCTTGAACTCTGGGCTTGGGCACTGTCCCTGTGCTTTTCAGCTCAAGATGAGCGCTCTACCGCTGGAGCCACAGCATCACTTCCGGTTTTCTAGTGGAGATAAGAGTCTCACAGACTTTCCTGTCCAGGCTGGCTTTGAGTAGCTAGCTAGGATTACAGGCGTGAGCCACAGGCACCTGGCCAGTTCCTAACTTTTATGTTTAGTAATGCAACTAGTTTAAGGCGAAGAACTAAACAGTTCAAGAACTATTTATTCTCTTTGCTCTGTGAAGGACATTTTCCCCAATAGACATTGTTGGCTCAAATCATTAAAATATGTTGCCATTACTCTAAAAGAAATAGAAAAATGACACAACTCATTGAATTCCGGCTTCATTTCTCCTTCTTAATAAACTGAAGAGGAGCTTTGTAATCTGAGGGGTTTAATTACAGATGACACCTGGAATAGACAGTGTTATGAACCCTTAGAATTACAAACCTGTGGAACTAGAAAGGATCTCAAGGGTGGTTTGAAGGCCTTGTCTTTCACAGATGAAGAAATTGAAGCCTAGATAAGGTAGTTCATCAGTTAATAGTAGATTAGAGATAAATCCTAAATCACACTAAATAGATCTTTGAGATTGTTGGCCCAATGCCTTTGTGTAAGTGCAAGATATGTTATTATTAATAAAGTAGTTCAGTAATAAAAAGTCAGTCATAATTGAATTTCTTTGCTAAGAAAACCATCAAAGAGCTATGGAACACCTTTTCCCCTTTGTTTAAATCAGATTCATTTTAATGATAAATTATTTAAAAGCAAGTTTAAAAAATATAAAATCTTAAGTGCTATTAAAAATTGATTAGGAATGCATTATTCTTTCATTGACCCAGTTCAGATTGTTTTATTTTTTTTTCTTTTTGGTCAAAGCTAATAAATTTGAGTAGATGTTTCAGACAGACATTTTGTAATCATTTGGTCATCATTCAATTAATCACAACTTCATAAATATTGATTTCAAATTACATTTATTTTTCATTCCTTGAAAGACAATTTTTTGTTTGTTTTAAATTTGTATATCCCCCAACTTGGATTATGGTTAAAACTGAGAAAACTCATAAAAACTGTATTAAAAATTAATCAGAGGTGCTGGCCCAAGTGTGTGGACTTCATACTAGGTACCAGGGTCTTATAGGCTGAGAATTATGAGCTAAAATGTCCTAAGATAATGACATTAAAGATGCTTTTTTACTGCAATAGGAGAATTTGGGATCTCTTGTACATCATCTCTATTTATTTAATTTTAAAACAGATTGACATGTGTTGTCACTTGCATTGCAAAGATGCAGGTTATTTAATTATGTTTATTAAAACCATCAAGGAACAATTTGCTTAAAATTGTGTCTCCTGGAACTTACATTCCAGGGGGAAAAGCTAGGCTGTACAGGTGTGGAGTGACACATGGTCTCTCAAGTAGCAGTAACAGTTTTCATACCAAAACCTGCACATCACATTCACATGTAATCACAGTATAGTGCAATATGATTACTTATTTATTTGGTCATTTCACCATTATTTAAGTATTTTTCATGTGCTAGGCACTGCTCTAAGGAGTGGGTGTCCAAGTGTGAAACAGATAAGAAGATCCCTGCCTTTACGTATTCATTCAACAAATATTATATGGTGTTCATAAGTCCCTTTATAAAAGGAGCAAGTGAGCATACTAAAGTGCCTATTTCTACAGAAATTTCTCTTCTAGATCTTCTTATGGTTGCCAAGCCTCTGGCCATTATGACATTGCAAGTGATAATTTTAAATATTTAAAATTGTTGCAAATTGGGTGATTGTTTTAAATTAGGTCATTTTAAGAGAATATTTTAGTTCCACTTATGGCTAAGTGTTGCTTCACAAATGTTTGTTGAGTCTTGAGGAACAAAGAAAGGAGTATCACCTATGGGAATATTATAGCAAGAATCATCAGGGTTGAGAGGTTATAGGATTTGCTAAAGTAGCAGAAGAGGGAATCTAGCTCTTTGATACCAGTTCCCTTTGACTTCCAGTTCCCCATTAAAGCACATTTATGTTTCCTTTCCTCTCATTTTGCATGTGAGCAACAGTTCCAAAGTGATGTACCCCCATAGGAACCTACATTCTGACCCCTTTAAATAATGCTACCATTTTTTTTAATCTGCTTGCTGAGGATCTACAAATAATTACATTCTGCATGAGGGCATCTCTTCCACAAAGACATTCTGCCCTTGGCTATGGAATTTAGCAGCTGGCTGGAGTGTTGAAGAATGGCCTTTCCTGGAAATAGGGCTGAATACCTCCTATATGCTCAACCCTCCCAGCAAATAACTTGTCCTAGGATGCAAAATTACAAAACATTAAGGGAAGGATTCAAATTTTTCCTTTCACTAAAATGGTCCAGATGTCTCTGCAGAATAGTATTGACATTTAAAGAATTTTATTAAGCTTTTAGTATATTTATGACCTTATGAAGAAAGATAAACCAAACATGGACTCCACCATACTTTGTGACACTTGCAGTTTAGTCCATGGGCTAAAGACTAAGAATCTTAAGACAGATAGAGAGATTAAAATTGTGGCAATAGGAAGTGGGAAGTGGAAAGTGGTTTTGGTAGAGTGTTTGCCTAGCATGTGAAAAATTCTGTTTGTTTCCTAGCTTCGTTCTCACGTAACCCCTTTCCCCAATGAAAGCTTCATAAAATCATTATTTGAGCTGGTTATATATAGGCAAATGGAAGAGGGAGAATGATATTCTAGGTGAAGGTGATAACATA